AGCAGCTGGATTACTTTTTGCTTCCACGCTGGGTGGGATGACCAGATATTTGAAGTCTTTGAAAAAAGCATGTTGTTGCCAAGATATTGTAAATTAACTATCTTGAAAATGTTGGCGTGAGCTGAGCCTATCTAGTTTGGTAATAGAGGAAGAGGAAATGGGGATGTGGTGTGAAGCAGAGCATGCACTAAATGCTCAAATGGCCCAACTAAAATACACTCACCAGCCACTTTGTTAGGTACACCTTGCTAATATCAGATCGGATGCCTTTTTGCCTTCAGAACTGCCTCAATTCTTCACAGCATTGATTCAGCAAGGGGCTGGAAACATTCCTCATCGATAGTTGGTCCATATTGACACGATAGCATCACACAGTTGCTGGAAGCACTCATCAGAAGATGGGTACACTGTGTTCATAAAGTGATGGACATGGTCTGCAATGATACTCAGGCAGGCTGTGCTCAGCTGGTTACAAGGAGCCCAAAGTGAGCCAGGAAAATATCATCCACATCATCACCCCAACACAAGCTCTAACAGCTGATACAAGGCAGGATGGATGCTTTTATGTTATTTATGCCAAATTCTGACCCTAACATGTGACAGAAATTGAGACTCATCAGCAGAGATGGGGAGTAACGCGTTACTGCGTTACTAGCTTTACTTTCCCGTAGGAACGCTGCATTACTGCGTTACTAAAACCGTGCTTTTTTTGCGAGAATGTCTCATGACAGTGACGTAAGCAAGTGCGACGGTCGGGACAACAGCTGTGCGCAGATCAACAGTGGATCATATATCGAGTACGGGAGAGAGTATGAGCGTGCAGCGTTTAAAGCGTGGAAGTACTGACCTTAGTTTAAGTTTGATTCCATAAAAAGTGACAAAAACATTAGCGTCCATTAGCATTGTGCGTGGGAAGAAAACGTCTTTTTACAGCGAAAAAAACCCCTAAACTTCCAAGCAAGCTCCTAGTGTGCTACCGGGTAATGGGAAATTCACAGAGAAACTGCCGTATCCTTCCACTAACCGCTGCGGCACACCTGCACCAGGGTAAACCTCCGCCTAAGGACCGCTAGTCTTTGACTTTATTTATTTTCTGCTGTGTTTTACTTGCATCTATTTGAAAGAGTGAGTGTAAACACAAAAAAAACCATTTTATGTGCTAGAATGTGCAGAAAATAGGTTTAAATATTAAACAAATTTCTTCCAGTCAGAGAATGTTGCATATAATTAGATTTTTGCTTGATGCATAAAGTTAAAAGATTAAAATTAATAAAACTATAAAAGTTAAAAAAAGAGACTTTTCCATTTGATTACATTTTGTATGATGGATTATGCAGAAAAAGTAGAATTGGGCTGAAAGATCTATCGTGTTTTTAAAAAGTAACTAAGTAATTAATTACTTTTGAAAATAAGTAATCAGTAAAGTAACGGGATTACTTTTTGGGGGAAGTAATCAGTAATTAGTTACTGATTACTTTTTTCAAGTAACTTGACCAACACTGCTCATCAGACCAGTCAATGTGAGCACCTGTGAATTATAACTACAGTTTCCAGCTCTTAGCTAACAGGAGGTGCACTCAATGTGATCTTCCACTCACTGTTTCATGGTCAGAAATAATGTGCATTCAGAGATGCTCTGCTTCAAACAATGGTTGGAATGATTGGCTATTTGAGTTAGTGCTGTCTTCCTAGCAGCTTGGCAAAGTTTGACTCTTCTCCTCTGACCTCTGAACTGCCTGGCATCAATAGGGCATTTTTGCCCAGAGAACTGCAGACCAGTTGATATTTTCTCTTTGTCAGACCATTTTCTGTAAAAATGGTTGTGTGGGAAAATCCCAGTTTCTGGAATACTCAGAAAGTCAGGCACTTAAATCCCCTTTATTCCCATTCTGACGCTCAGTTTGAACTTCAGCTGGTCATTGTGACCATTTCTACAAACCTAATGCTGACTGATTGATTAGACGTTTGCATGAACAAGCAGTGGAATATGAGCGACTGATTAAGTTTCCAGAATTCATGATAGCAGCGGTTGCATACTAATAATTATCTGGTATAAAGTTTAAAATGAGCTGCAGCTTGGTTCAAATATCAATATCCACATTCACATATCAGCGGATCATCAAGTTGTGTGGATAAACGCCATAACCAATACTAGTTATTTTATTGCTAGTATTGAGACATCAGTGTCAGTAGTTAAGTTTTGTATTCTTATACTGTATCAGTGTTAAAGGATTTTTCAAATGAGAAAATCTGCAGTTGCTATCTGCAAGAACACCTACTTCTGGGATTAGCTGATCCTTCAAATGTGGTCAAAAGTCTGGAAAGTGCAAATACCACACTATGTAAATAGAGGCCAAGTGTACATAAATATTTCAATTTAGCATTCAGCTGCATCCAAGTGGCATCTAAGTGGGAATCCACAGGCTGCTTCATTCTGTTTTAACTGGAAGGCTTTGAGCTTCAGATTTGCCTCAAATCCTCTGCAGCTGGATGCAGAGACAGCCTTTACACCAAGAACCACCGGGTGTGAAATGGATTATTTAATGAAGATATCTTTACTTTGCATATGCCACCTATCCAGACTTTTTTCAGCATCGCAGATATTGCTATAATATGGGAATGAGGCAGATTCTGGCTAACAAAGTGTTAGTGTGGATTTGATTTAAAGCCCACTAAATTGGGGATTTCCACCCTTCAGAAAGGGTCGAGTTTTATTTTGATAGTGTCCCTCATTCTGGGATTTGCGGTATTTTTTACAGAGAGTATAGTGACGGAAAAAAAGAGGCATCTAGCCAATGAAAGTTAAGTCATTTATACTGCTTGTCTTCTTACATCTCTTGTGTTTGTCTACCTGTCATGGGGGGAAAAAAAGCCAAAATGACATCAGACAGCTACTGTGACATTATTGCCTAAAAGATTCAAGACCACCTCGACATTTAGAGAAATTGTTTTATTTGCTTTGTAATCAAGAGCTGAGAGAAGATACCTCTCTCTTGCCTCTAGGGTAATTGGAAACTCTAGCAAGGAAAAAGCTACTAAGCAACTAAGGGTGATGAGGGTAAAGTGGAGACACCTTGAAACTGGACACAATGAAGTAAACTACAGACCCATGACTATCAAAATAATACAGGAAGTCATGAAACCAGGACTCACTAACATTGAGACAGAGAATTAACCTTATATTGGAAATTCAGGGAAGGCTAGGAATACCACAAACACAACAGTAACTGTCACAAAAGAAACAAGGCTGAAAACACAATAAGCAACCAAAGAATCAAAGTGAAGACGATTATTAAAAAGGAGAACAAAAACACAAAAACCCTGGGTCAAAATCGAAGACCATAACAGAAATGACACACAAGAAGTGCACAGATAACGTGTTTTTTATTCCTTTATTCCATCATTAACTGTTGCTTTATATGTTGATATTTTACAGGTTATGCAAATGAGACATAATGTTTGATTTGTGTACTGGAAGGCAGATTTTGTTGCTTGTGTTACCTTTTCCTTGTGTGAAGTGCTGTTAGCTCTCATACCCAGTATATGAAAGGAAGCAATCTTTAAGCTCAAAGCAAAAAAATAAAATAAAAAATAAGAGTGACTAAGCCTATTTGCTTTTGATGATTCTGCCACCTTGCCAGAAAACATCTGGTTTTTTTACAGGCATTAAATATAATGCGCTAAAACCACCACTAAAACCAGAGTAAAAGCTCTTAGCTTTGAAAGTTCATGTGCATCGATCTTTAAGCCTTTTTACTTCTTTTTTATTGAAGATTAGGACATAATCCAACACTAAAGCCAACAGTCACCCTCCAAGTGTTCTAAGCCTTGAGCTGTTGGTCCATCTCTCCTCAGCATGTGCAGTGTCAGTGATGTGACCCATGTCATCAAGAACAGGCTGAGGAAACAGATTCCTGGAACCTCACCATATGTGGAGGAAAAGCCGTGGGTGGTAGTGACGTAAAACACACTCAAAGGACATACTATTAAGACCCCCAAAACAACATTCCCTTCTTTTCTGCTTTCCCTTTCAACCAGGTAGACCTATCTGCAGCATTTAGAGCATAAATGTTTACCTCCAAGTACTGGTAAATAGCAAAGAAATGTTAGTTGGCATTATAGAAAAATCAAATGCTAAAAATTCTCTCATTGTTGTTCAGCACTGGTTTCAGGGCTGACTTCAGAAAACTAAACAAAAATGATGTCATGCAGGAGAAAACTAATGCTGTTTCTTTGTATTAATGCTACAACAGCCACACAATTACTAGTTAATGTGCTTTTACCGAACCCAAGTGTGTTCATGACTGGTCCTTTGCCCATATCTTTGTAAATAATGATTCATGTAACATAACGCTGCCAATGTGAAAGCACGGAGCCATTAGAGAAATGACGTAGCCTGGCAGAAAGACCGTAAAATGCACCCAATTCAGAGTTCACACAGTGACGCACACACACACTCGCACACGCAAACACACGCCCACATGTAGGAGCATATGATATGAAGTTTGAGGGAGGGAGATTGTTAAATAGGCCTATGGGGATTGTTGGCAGAACTCCATCCAGCAGAGCAGGGATTAAAAAAAGTGTGCACATGCCCATATTTGGCTGTACATGCACCTGTTATGCATTTTATACTTCTTTCTTTTTGTGAGTCTCACACAGAGACCAACTGTAGCTTCTCTAACTCAATGCAGTTGCTTTTTCTGAAAAGAAAAAACCTGGACTTTCTATTTTTCAGCACAAATCATCATCCTCTACACCCTGATTCAGTCCACCCAATGCTTTCACTCACTGTATGTGCAAACTGTCTGGTTATGATACCCAGTAACACTTCAACGAGTTACCAATACAACGCAAACAAAATGAATTTGTCTTGAAAGGTGCTGTATAAATAAAACTGTACTTTTACTTACTTTCTTTACTCACTTTGTATGTTATTGCAATAATACTTAAAAAATAACAGGGATTGAAACTTTATTGGTAATTTTCCAAGTAAAAAAATTATCCTCATTCAAAAGTCATGTAAGAACCTCATTGGCTCACGGAATGTTGATGTTATTTAAAAAACAATTCATACAAAAATATGACCTCATTCAAAAATGTCATGTGACAACCTCATTGGCTTATGGAATTCTGATGTCAAAGGCTTCTAAAGCATTGATCCTTTGAAGCTTTGATCCTCATGAAGTCTTAAGTAGGGGTGAGGATGTAGAACTTTCAGTCCGTTATTTGCAGCACTTGTGTTAGCAGCATTCAAACGTTCACCAGTAAAGCATTTTCAAACATTTGGATCCTTTCCGTACTCACGGTATACAGACTCCAACATGTCTCAGAAACAGCAAGAAAGACAAGAAGTTGACCCCAGCTCTATTCCATGGTATGAGTCCCTAGACCCTTATATCAGCTCTCTTCCTTGGGATGAACAGGTAGAGTTAGAGGAAAAGCGACTGGAAGAAATGGAGAATGAAAATCTCATGAACAGAGAGAAGATTAAGATCCTGACGGAAGAAAATGAGAGAAAGAGCGCTGAATTAGAAGAATTATCCTACCAGCTTCAAGAAAAACAGGGTATTATTGAGGAGAAACAATGGGCTCTCCAAGACGAGAAGAATCAGGAGCTCCAAGAAAAGCTTGATGGAGCTCTGGAAAAAATTAAAGATCTGCTCCAAAAGGAGAAAAAAGAGAGCATAAAACAGGAAAACATGCTCAAGAAGAATCAGGAGCTCCAAGAGAAGCTTGACGAAGCTCTGGAAAAACTGAAAGAAATCCACCAAGAAGAGAAACAACAGTCCACACAGCAGAGAGACATGCAGCACAAACTCCAAGCCATGGAGGAAAAATACAAAGCGCTGCAGGTGAAACATGATAAAACTCTGCACAAAAATCAACAGTTGCTTCAAGACAAGAAGCAAATTGAAATGGAAAAGAAACAAATGAACTCCAATGTTGACGAGATGGAGGAAAAACACAGATTGCTCCAAATCAGGCTCGAGAAAACAGTGCACAGAAATAAAGAGTTCATTCAAGAGAGAGAGCAACAAGAAATGCTCGAGAAAGAAACGGACTCCAAGCTTGAAGTCTTGGAGGAAGAACTGAAAATGCTGCAAATGACTCTTGAGGAAACACTGATCAAAAATAAAGAGATGCTTCACGAGAAAGACCAACAGAAAATACATCAGGAAGAAATGTATTGCAAGCTGAGGAACATCGAGAAACAAAATGAAGGCTTGCAAGTTATGCTTGATGAAGCTTTGGAGAGAAATAAAGAGTTGGTTCACGAGAAAGACCAACAGAAAATACAAAAGGAAGAAATGGATTGCAAGCTGAGGGACATCGAGAAACAAAATGAAGGCTTGCAAGTTATGCTTGATGAAGCTCTGGAGAGAAATAAGGAGATCTTCCAAGACAAAAAACAAGAGCCCGTAGAGCAGAGAGACCTGCAGAGCAAACTCCAAGCCACGGAGGAAAAATACAAAGCTCTGCAGGTGAAACATGACAAAACTCTGCACAAAAATCAACAGTTGCTTCAAAACAAGAAGCAAATGGAAATTAAACTGAAACAAATGGGCTCCAATGTTGACGAGATGGAGGAAAAACACAGATTGCTCCAAATCAGGCTCGATAAAAAAGTGCACGGAAATAACCAGCTGCTTCAAGAAAAAGACCAACAGAAAATACAACTGGAAGAAGAAAAACTTACTCTTCAGAGGAAAAATGAAGAACTCCAAGAACTGTATAATGAAACAAAGTACAAAACAACTGTACTGGAAGGAGAAAAGAAAGAACTGGCAAATCAATGCTCAGCGATGCAGAGTAGCATCAATGAAATGCTGAGAAAAAATACAGAACTTGAAGAACTTTCTAAGACCTTGAAGCACAAAAACACTGAAATCCAGGCACAAAAGCAAGAACAACAGAAAACACATAAAGACCTGCAGTGTAGACTTCAAGATATCCAGAAGAGAAACCAGCAGCTGGAAGACATGCACACAGATGTGCACAAGGCAAAGCAAATAGAGGAGGCAACAGTTAAAGAACTGAAAGACCATCTTAAAGAAAAACAAGAACAATTAGAAGACATGGTGAAAAGATGCAACAAACTTGAGAAAGAAAACACAGAAACAATGGATGAGCTGAAAACCCTCATCATTGAGAAAAAAGTGCTGGTGGAAGAATATCTAAAAAAGAAGAGAAAACGTTTCCACTGGTTCTGGAGGAGAGACACTGCTGCTTCTCACCTGATGTAACCTCGTCTTCCTCCACCTCTATTCCATCTTCATTTTCCCCCTTCCCCTCCCTCCTTTTTCTTTTTTCACCCTCACCCCCCGACCAGTCCCGGCAGTTGACTGCCCCCTCCTGAGCCTGGTTCTGCCATAGGTTTCTCCTTTAGGTTTCTTTCACTTTAAAAGGAGTTTTTCCTATCCACTGTCGCCTGGTGCTTGCTCAGAGGGGATTGTTGGGGTTTTCTCTCCTCTCTCTTTCCTTCTTTCTATCCCCCCTTTTCCCCCTTCTACCTTTTCCTTTACCCAATAAACACAATTGGCCACATTTTACATGTGTTTGAAAAATGTCTTCATTCAACAATAATTCATCTTAGGTATAAAAACAAGAAATAGGTAATAGCTGCATGTGTGTTTGTGTGTGTGCATAATATACATACTTGTATCCCAGAAAGAATTAATACTAGATGGATAGAGACAGGTTTTAAAGACTAGAAATGAAAACATGTGAGTCCTGTCTTTAAATAAAAATATATAATTCCCTATATTCCTATCTATTCCAAACAAGGTAGTAAGTAACAAAGTTTCAAATTTGTCTTTCCCTTTGACTCTTAATTTATTAACCATGAACAAGAGGTCAGAGGTCAAATGTGGCACGATACCTTAAATCTTTCTATGATACTTTCTGTATTTGGACCAGAGATGGGCAACACCGCATAGTCTGATTACTTTTTTCAAGTAACGAGTAAAGTAAGGGATTACTATTGCAAAAAAGGTAATTAGATTACTGTTACTTTCCCGTAAGCAGGCTACATTACTGCGTTACTAATCCTCGTCATTTTCTTCGCGAGAGTGTCTCATGACAATGACGTACGAGCATGCGACGTCCGTGGCAGCAACAGACGTGTGTAGATCAACAAAGGATAATATGGAGTGCAGGAGAGAGTACGACCATGCAGGGTTTAAAGCTTGGAAGTACTGACATTACTTTGACTTTGATTCTATAAAAAGTGACAAAAACATTGAAAACATACGGTAGTGAAGTCGAGTTTTTGTGATTAAGTTCTTAGCTCCCTGTTTTAGTTTTGTTGTTGTCCTCCCCGGTGTTCCCCTGACACTCTTGGTATTTGATGCATGAAGGCTTCCTCGGCTCAGCTCCCGTCTCCACACCCTGCCGTCACTTTTTAAAATACTTCCATCACACCAACAGGCACTTTAGAATCACCAATTGACAAGCATGTCTTTGGACAGGCTCAAACCGGAGAGGTGATCAATGGACCACAGCGCTGCACACCCCTGGCAACTTTGGGGTTAAAGCCACTGGTTTGTGGTGGTTGCCAGGTGAAATCAGGGTCTGCTGCACCAAAAACCTAATTGTGATTGCTTTGGTTGCAATGCCATAGTCATCTGCAGTTTGCATGTAGGATGCCAACTACTCACCAAGCGGGAAGATTTAATAACATTGCATGTTTCATTTCAAGACTCTGTAGTCACAGAGCAGAGAGTAGAAAAGGTGATAATAAAATGTTTTTTGGAGCTTTACTACCAAGTAATCAACATCAGACTTGTGAACAATTAAAAGCAAACCCAACATTTAGAGTCTTAGGAAGATAATCACAGAGACAGAAACTTTCCACTGTATCATCTCAGGTATCTTAAAACGAAGTATTCAAAGTCTGAGGTAGGGTTGTTATTTGAGGTATTCCTGGGAAAATCTTTGAGGTCCATTTGAAAGCTCCAGATTCTTTAGATTGACTGTCTCATACTTTGATTGTGAATATAGAGGATTGTAGCTCAAGTTAACATGGAAAGATAGAGGTCTAAAGTCGCTAAAACATTTGGATGCTCTAGGAAATAAAACATTAAAGGCTTTCAACGTTTTCTTAATTGAAAGACCATCTTTACACTCAATGGACACTTTATTAAGTACACCCTACTAGTACAGGATTGGACCCCTTTTTCATTCAGAACTGCTTTCGTTCATCATGGCACAGATTGATAGACTTTTCACTGGAGTCTAACATTCTGGCACTGGTGACCGGTAACAAAAGACAAAAGTGGAACAAACAAAAAACAGAAAATATTCCCAGAACAACTGGGGATATTTCTGAAATCACAATCCTACTGAGGCTTTGCAGACACTTTGCCAAATTAGTCATCATTTGGAGCAGTTCAGCAGCCCTTACAGAAGTCTTTTTAGTGTACAAACCAAAATACTTTAGATGGAAAGCATGATTCTGTTTACAGTCCAAACCAGTTTATTGCATATTTATGGAGTTTGGAGGCATCCAGCAGCAAAGTTGCTCAGATAATTATTTGGATTTGGTTAAATAGAGAGGCTTTCTTTCAACATGAAGCCTTGAGGCAGAAACATTTTTATTAAAAACCATTATACTTAATGTGGCAGGCTCTTTACACAGTGTAGTCCCTGTGACCTTATTAATCTGGTCGTTAAGTGATGACGTGACGAATCCTACTTCCGGGCCTAAAGTAGTCTGCGTTTAATATGGCTTTTGTGTTGTTAACATGTTTAATGTTTTGTATTTTCTTCTATTTAATCTCAAAAAGCTCCTAAAACAGTCAGTGATCACTGTTGACCTCCCTCAGCTTTTATTACTGCTAATCATTTATTTAAGCTCAGTTTTTAAAACCTTAGGATGTAACTACAGCCCAGCCCATGCAGCAGTATATGAATGACTAACCTCGTATTGTGGATGGATTATCTCAGTTGTTCTCCTGGCTGAAGTTTGGTCCATTTACAGCATCCTGCCATGCGATTACATTTGTTCCTGACCACCGAGAACACTCATGTTAACTTTTATCGAGTGGAAAAAAGTTAGCTTGTTTATATTATGCTAACATAGCTGTGTCGCTAGCGGTCACGTAGCACATCATTATATACCAGCTAGCCAAACTTCAGTAACCCTACAAACGTCACTGCTGTTTAGTTTTCTGTCTTCATTTATGTTGGAAGTGATAGCAGAGCTGTACGTTTTAATTTGTTTCCAAAACCCCGCAGTCAGGACATGCTATATTGTATTTAGATAGAAGCTAGCGAGCTAACTCCCTGCTAACTTCTAACTCCGTTAAATGTCATAAATTCCGTTTTCATGGATGTCTGGATGTTAAACTCAATTGTTACACCTGGTAGAGCAGAACGCTGATCATTTTATTAAAGATGAAAGACTTTAGACAGTTTTTCAACTCTCAGTAATGCCATAGTGATCGTTTGATATATGGACTATTGTACAGCAGTAATCTGTTCACCATAAGCCAATATAACTGAGTAAAATACACCAGATAGCACTAACCACAATTGTAATTCCCTGATATACTGTCCCTTCCTACCTTCATTTTACACTTTGGAAGTTCAGCCTTATTTTCCTCAATAGGTTGCAGATTCCCTCTTAGACAAAAATACTCTCCAGCTGTGTAGGAGTTTTCCTTTGTTTATGTGGCGCATTTGAGTTTCAACTCATGCATGTGATGATGGAATTTATTTTGATTTGCCTAAAGCCCCTTTTCATTTCTGTGGCCACAGCCTGAACTTCTGGTCAGTGTGGTCAGCTTGGTGTGGCTGTCTATTAGGTGAGCTGCAGAACGCATGACCTGTGGTAATGTGGGGCTCTGCTTGGCTGAGCCTAGTCTGAATTGCTTTTGGATTGACAGAGAAGAGCAGGGCAGGGACAAGCAGTGGTCAAACTCTCTAGCTGAATATGTCTGCATAAGTGAACTTAAAAGTCAGAGGTGTGGGTGAGGGTTTTATAGTGGATAGTTCCAGCTTCTTTGTTCCTCCCATGTCTGTCTGCCTCTGCTCTCTGTTATATACTTTTTATTCTGAAATACTCTGAGTACTCTGTCTGAGGTAGTCTGAGGCATGCGTTAAGTGTAAAGGAAGAAAGCTAAACACATAATCTATAACCTATCATATACAACTGCTGAACATTTCATTATGTACACCTTTGCTAGTACCAAGTTGGACCCCCTTTCACCTTCAGAACTGCATAAACTCTTCATGGCACAGATTGAACAAGGTGCTGGAAACATTCCTCTGATATTTTGGTTCACATTTATAAGATAGCACCACACAGTTCCACCACATCCCGAAAGTGCTCTACTGGATTATGATCTGTTGACTATGGAGGCCATTTGAGTACAGTGAACTCAATGTTATGTTCGAGAAATCAGTTTGAGATCATTTGTATTTTATACCACGGTGTGTTATCCTGCTGGAAGCAGCCATCAGAAGATGGACACACTGTGGTCAATAAGGGATGGACAAAGTGTTCCCTGAAAATATTTCCCCCACCATTACACAATAAAGCAGCCTGAAGCATTGATAAAAGGCAGGACAAATCTATGCTTTCATGGTACTTAAGAAAAATTGGCAGCAAAAATCAAGATTTATCAGATCAGTCAATGTTCTTTCAATCTTTTATTGTCCACTTTGGTGACTCCGTGTCTGAGCTTCAGTTTCCTGTTCTTACTCATCAGGAGGGGGACATCCATGTAGTCTTCTGCCATTGTAGCCCACAATATGTCAGATCTTGAAGCAGTTACCTTTCCGCACCATTCTGATGCTCAGTTTGAGCTTCAGCAGGTTGTCTTGCTCGTGTCTATGTGTCTAAATGCACTGAGAGCAGCTCAACAGGTAGAGCTAACAATGCAGCTAGTGAGTGTGTAAGTTTTAAAGGTCTATAATCAGTATGACAAGGCTCCTTTCAAATAAGTCCTTGGAAGCATTTGTAATGAACCAATAGATTATCACCATCCAGCTTCACTATGTTTTAACACAGCTTTTAACTGAAGTCAGTTAAGAGTACATTTAAATGTAATACTTCCAACTTTAAAGATAATACACTATTACCTAAGTGTAACATTTGACTTGCAAAGAATGGAAAAGGCTGTTTGTTAGGAGTTATTATGATAAACTTTGAGGAGAGAGGGCATGAGTGGGCATGAGTGGTCAGGAGTGATGATCAATCCATGTCATCCAGGACGTATAATAATTCATACTCAACACAACAAACAGCAGGGAATCACTCAGATGGCATCATCTTCAGAGAGGTTGCACTCAAAGGAACGAAACTAAGCATTTACAGTTTGTTGGTGTGAGTAGACTTCCATATCAGTGCAAATGTTTGTTAGTACAGAACTGCCATCCAGAAATGGAGTTTTCACACCAATCCTCCAAAAGCATGAAGCCCACGATGCAGTTCCACTTCGCATCTTGAATGCCATGGTAATAAAACAAGAAAACACAAGAAAACGTGACTAATTCATTTTACTCGTGTTGCTCTGAACACCATTTTTTTTAAAG